TCAATAAACGGATTAAAAAGATGCTGACATCTACATCTTTTACTGTGATGGAGGGTTTGTAAAAGTCTGAATTCACACTTAGTCGACGAGTTGGTGCTACACTTAGTTCATAGTGAGGGTAAACCCAACAGAATGCACAAAACACATGTTCAGAACTTACTACTCTGACCTTTCTGTGGTGTCTTTCAGTTGCCTGTTGGATTAATCCCTTGCCATTCCTGTGTGATCCTCCATATAAGCTGTTAAGCTCTTAAGACCGTCCAGCAGCCTCCTGTTTTAAATCAAAACAAAGTCTCTCCTTCTCCTTCTCTCCTCCTTCCTGTCTGCAGTCCACCTGAGAGATGAGGACGGACCCAGAGGGACGTGCCGGGGCCCAGCAGCCGCCAGACGACACCCGGAGGTACACCCAGTTCCACGTCAACCCATCGCAAGCACGATCCCGCAGGGCGCACCAGCCGCCTGCGCAGGACACCGCATCACGCGACCTGAACATTCAAACCGCCAGGAACGGAGCTGGAGGTTCAGCAGTTCGTAAAACCTATCAGTTCATGTGTTACACAGCCAGGACGCGACGGAACACCGGACGCGTTGATCTTATTTACATTTGAGCACAGTTCGCTGATATTCAGACAGACCCAACACAGCAGAAGTGAGTCAGCTCCCGCAGCCTCGCCTTGAGCTGGAAGTCTGTGAAAGCTGCGTTCGTTTATCAAGATCAGCTTGTGCTGAACCTATCTTATGTTTATGTTTGTGTCTCGGATGCAATCGTTCAATCTTTTATATTTTTTCTGCAGCTGAGCAGGGGGACATGTCGGCGTCTCTGGAGGGTCTCTGCAGGAGAGAGAGGGAACAGCAAGGGTGCGCGCAGTCCTCCTCACAGCAGTCAGATCACCAGTTCATACACCTAATTACAGAAATGATGGAGCTCGATTTGGTTCTCACATTACGGTTCCCTCTTTTTGCAGATCGGTTCTTGAACGTTTTTCGGCTATGAACCATCCGTTTCCAATTGGACGGGACCTGCCTGACCGATCGGGGACGAAACGGAGAACTGCCGTCGGTGGAAAACCTTCTCTGTTGCAAAAACTAATGAGTCGTTTCACCTAAACTATAACATTTAAACAAGGGAAAAAAGGCAGGGGGGGCAGGGAAGTTCGGGCAGGCTAAAAGGGGGGTCTTTTTCCTCAAAAAAAAACCCCCGCGCCCAAGGTGGGGTGTGCCACCGCGGGGGGGGTGTTTTCCATAAGATACAAAAAAAGGAGACTAGTTCATGAAAAATTAAGGCCCATCGACCCCGCGCTAAAGCGGGTTCAAATATTAACAGATAAAAATACCCGCGGCGCCACCTTGGAAAAGATCTTTTATGGGGGGGGGGGTGGGCAAAAAGGAAATACAAAAAACTGGACAGTGAATTTTGGGAACTAAACAACAAAAACTGACCTGGACGGAATTCGTCGGATCTTTTTTCCTTATACGCACCAAATTTACGGAGGTTTTTTTCCTTTTTCTCCAAGGCAAAACCAACCTCGTCTCCACCTTCGCTTTGGGGGGAGATAACAAAAAAAAAAAAAAAACCACGCTCCGGTTGTTTCCGAGGGGCATTAACTTTATAACAACCAGACCCCATCCGCGCACCGTGTGTCGAATGTGGTGCTTTCAGGGAGAGCCCACCTATAGGGGCTGGGGGGGAGCCCTGATTGGGGTTTTGGGAGACGGAAAAAAAAAGAAAGACGGCGAGGGGAGGGGGAAATTGTTTTTTGTGGGTTTGGGGAAAGTTGAAATCAGAGACTATGTCTCTCCCTTTGTGGTAGGACCAATTATAAGAAAATAAGTGTGGGGTGTGGAAAAGGGGGGGTTTATAACAAGATTTTTATTGTTGGGCGAAAGGGCTGCCGGTATTTGTTTCTCCCACCTTGTGGGTGTCCCAAAAATTTATTTTTTAACAATTTTTTTAAAACGGATACACTCCCACAAACAATTACATAGGGATAAGATGGTAGGAGCGGTTTGTTGCTGGTGCAAGTTTTTAGAGATGAACCTAGGGGAAAAGGCCTTTTTTGGTTTTCTTTTTTTTGAGAGTTTTTGTTGGGGGGGCCCTCTGCCGCGGACAAGGGGGGGGCATCCGGGGGCCCCTCATTTTAGCTTTCATTCCTCTCCTTTTTCGCTCGCTCCCGGCCGGCGAAAAAAGACCAGGGGATAACCAAGGAAGACAAAAAGAAATAAAAACGTTTTTTTTTTTGGGGAACGGGGACCTGGAGAAAATGCCTGGGGGCAGGCGTACGCGGGGAGGGAAATTTTCCGGGGGTTCTTTTCCCACTTGTTTCCATAAAGAAGAGGACCCGCACGCAAAAAAAAAAAACATGGGATAACCCTTCCTAAGATAGGTTTCCAAACCTCCCGGTTTATGGTTCTTCGGTATCCCTGGGCCCTGTGCTCTCGTGGACGGGGGGGGAGCAAGGGTACCAAAAGTCCAAACTCACCCTGAGATACCCCTCAAAAAAAGTTACATCTCATAATTATAATAAATGTAGGCCCGGCCATTGTGGTGAGGTAATCTACCCAGGGTGTGACCAGGTGGCGCCTTGTTCGCATATAAATAGGCAGATATTGAACCATATGTGGGTGTTGTTTTGGGATCAAAATGGGTATGTGTGAGGATAAGTGTGAGAGAGATGCTCCTCAGGGTTTGGAATATGGCCGGGGAGGGAAGTGTGTGGAGGGTGAACTTTCCTTTTTGGGGGGAGATTTAGTGCGGGTCTCTGCGCTACAGATTGGCCTGATCCAAAAAAAATAGGAACCAGATTTTAGCCGGGCCCCAAAGGATTCAATAAACCAGGCTTGGGGGGGGGCCCCAGTTTTGATAATCCTGGTTTCAGCCAGTTTGTTGTCTGGTGTTTTTTGTTCCAAACACTGTATTTTCTTTCTCGTTTCATATCTCTGTTGTTGTTGTATTGCCGGAATGTGTGGGGCGGAGTGCGGGGGCGATTCTAATTGGGTTTGGGGGGGATAACTCTTGGAAATCCCTGGGGCTGTATTGGGGGGGTGGGCTACCCCCCCCACTAAATATATGTGTGGATAGTGGATGATACGGGATGAGACAAAAAAAAAAAGGTGGGGGGGGGGGACCCCCCCACCTTTTGCCAGTTCAAGAAACATTCCCGGTAGTAAAAAAAGGCCCTCCCCCTGAGGGCGGGGGGGCTATACCTACTGGGGGACCCGGAGGGTCATTTTTGTAAAATAAACCTTTATGGGGATGGAGGGCCCGGTTCTGGGCGAAAGGAATACAAAAAAAATAAAAAAAAAAAAAGGGGGATAGCCTTTCCCCACGTGGGCTAAGAAAATATACCAAAGTGGGAAGCTTCCCCGCCCTTTTCCTGGGTAAAGTTTTATAAAAATTCAAAAAAGAAATAACCCTTTTGGAAATAAGGGGGAACCGGATTCTCCCCTTTTGGGGTGTTTTCGATATAAAAAAATAAGGGTGGGGGGTTCCAAAGGGGTCCCACCCAATAAAAACTTTTTCCCCAAAATACCCTTGGGGGGGGGGCTTTCATTTATAACAGTTTTCTCATTAATTTTTTTTTTATTATTGTCTTGATTTCTTTCAAGGTCAAGTTTTCAAGTTAGGGTTTTTTCCTTTAGTTGGGCGTTTGGTCTTGTTTTCTATTTATGTTAAGGTGGTTCTTTTTTTATATGTTTTTGAATATAGAAAAATAGAAATAAAAAAAAGGATAATTGTGTTATTATTGTATTTTATAAATAATTTAATTTTGTGGAGGTGTTTATTTTGGTTTCCAATTTGGCGGGGAAAGGTTATATAGGTCTATAATATTTAGGTAACGGAAGGGTTTACATTTTAAACGGGATTTTGTAAACGATTTTGGCAAAGTCGTTTTTTATTAATAGGACTATTTTTTCCCTAGGGGGGTCTATTTCAATTTAAAAAAAACAAAAAATCAAACGTTACCCAAAAACCTCCCAGCGCTTTTGGCCCCCTTCATATTTAATTTTTTATCTTATGTAATTGGGTCTTTGGGCCAATAATGCATGAATTTTTGGGTGGTACTAATTAAAAAAAATTTTTGCCATTTTTTACTTTTTTTTATATGTTTAAATATTATGTTAAATTGTTTTATATATGATTATGATATGTGTTAATGTGATATATAAATGGGGTTTGTTTATTATGAGTTTCTTTGATAGCTTATACACACTAATGACATATATCACAATGTATGTATAATTTTAAAAATAAACCCTTAATATAATTTATGAACTATATTGAATCTTAAAAAATATACTTATCATTGACATATGCTATGGATAAACAATTCATAATAACATATAAATATTATTTATAAATCTATTTTTATACTTTAAATATAACTAATATATTATTGATCATAATACATGTAACACAATTATGTTTAATATAAATTTAATTTATATATGTATGATTATGATATTTATAATATATATATAATAATATGTTATTTTGTAAGGTAATTATGTATGGGTATA